TTGGTATTTAATGCACTCTCGCCTATTGTAGTTGCAAAATTACCAACCAAAACTCGAGAGTGAGATTTAGACTGCACGTAGTAATAGTGCAGTATTTATTTATCGCGATACCACGTCACGTGAATTTCCCCATTCACCACAATTTGCACCTTGTGTGTCATGACACTTCACCATCCTTTGAGTGTCCCCTAATTGCCCCTGCAGGGAAACTCACTTAAATTACTTTGACCCATCTTAATACAGCGCGGTAATCAACGGCCTACCCGCAGTTAGAACGATTCCATGAAATCGTTCTATGACAATATATTGGTTCTGACTGGGAAATTAATGAGCGTCATATTGAAAAGGTTGTGCCCTCCTCAGAGGACGCTTGAATATAGTAACCCAAACGAATGCAGCATACTGACTATTACAAATGCTACCCATGGGTGGCATTGTGTTTGTTATACGTAAACGAGGTTTACAAAATCTGGTCAGCGGATAACATTTTTTAAGACCGGGTCTTAGCTGTTTTATACTAATTACTCGTTAACAAATGCAAAGGAAATATACACCTAACGCTATTAATTCTCACAGTACAGGATGCACACTAGTCTCATAGAACTAAGACTATGTATGAAATTGGTAATACTTTATTCATGTTCAGTTCAGCTTAAACATAATAAATATGACCTTTGTCTATTGAGAGTCAAGTTTTTTGTGTTGTTGGCGGGTGGTGGCAACACTGCGTAATAAATGATTTGTTACTTAAGATATTTTCAATCTATTCCAGTTTCAAGGACGTTGACGCCCTCTATGAGTAGGCTAAAGGAAATAAAAACAAACAAGGCTGTCTGCTCGTCCCATTGGTGAGAAACAATAGGATTAACAAGCGTTCATGAGTAAAAAACAAATGCCGCAGGCCATTCAGTTTGAAAACAATTTCAACAAAAGGACCCGATTTTATTCATTTTTAGAATGTTCAGGATAAGCAAACAATTCTCCGTGTTCTCAATCTAAATAATAATCTCCGAGAAAGTTTTCTATAAACATGCTTCCAGGGTTAACTTGAAGTTGTTAACATCGGCGCACTTGACCACTTCTGCGGATAGGCTTTCCACACAGATATGACCATTGTGTGAAAAAGTTGACCCGTACCTCCAGTCTGGCGTGATCTTGTTGACGTTTGTAGCCATGACCTTTTGTATGCTGAGCAAGGGAAATCATAAGCAAGTCATCTAGGTTGGGTCCGGATAAACCTGTTATAATTTTAAAAGGTTGTCGTGGAAGAGAAGACAGACGCTGCTTTCAAACGGCGTCTGAATGAGCACCTGGAGGGTCTATGGAGGAATGAACACTTGTGATCGGACCTTCAATCCAGTGATGATGGGGCTTACACGGGCACCCTGCCGTCTGCCCTCAATCCTGAAGACTGAAGACTCTCAGATCTCCCCTCAGTCATCTACGCTTCAGCGAGAAGAGAGTAACATCCTTAACTGCTGCTGATAGCCTTTCCATTTTTGCCCAGTCACCCTTCGGGTAGTTAGTCGTTCCACTCTTTCTAAGCATGCTACATCCCCTCTGCAATACAGTGCCCATACCTGCACACAATAATTGCTCCCAACAGTGGCATAAAACCTCAGGCCTCTACGTGCGATTGTGGCCCATAACCTAAACAGCTGCATCCCAGCCTAATTAGCAACCTTTAAGCACCGAGTGGTGGGTTCATGTGCGGAGGATACGTCAATAGCGTCAGCATTTTCCGGATATTCGTTCTTCTTTTTGTCTTCCGCAACAGAAATATTCAATAAGGTACTAGTTTATAGTTTCTAAGAGTGCAACCAAGTTGTAATAGAAAGTAGTATTGCACTATTTCAATTTCCTGTGAATTGTTTACAAGTTTTGTTGAAATACAAAGTCTGTAATACGCCTATCACAGATAAGGTGTAGCATGCTTACAGAAGGCTTGGTAAGCATTGGTCATTTTGAGAAATCTTTGGCGCCGTATTGACATCCAACTGTCAGTGAAGGGTTGAGTGTATATTTCAGCTATTCAACTGGGGTTACCATACAGTCCAAAGGCTTGACCTTTATGAAAACAGAATAAAAGTAGATTGTCGGTATTAGAACAACGCTGTCTACGTCGACTTTTATGGACTATTCTGGTTAGGATATGTGTTGCACATGTCACCAAGGCAAGTGATGTTTACCGGTGCAGGAAACGGTTCAGAAAGATCAAGCGCGATCATCCTAAAGCCTACCACGAGGGTATAAAAATACTGACCACGACACTGGGTCACATATATCCCGTTAGCCTCCTTAGACGAAAACTCTGAGATCATGATAACCGGTCGTTAGAAATACTGAGTGATATGATTACTGGGTGTCGTAAAATATGGCGCATGTGCATCTAATAATTAGCTCTGCAAACCCGGGCTACATAAATTTTCTATCTTTACTTTTTCTCTGCTCTCAACGTTTAAATCTTCATTCCGCAGTTTAATCCAAATGAGCAGCCAAAATACTGCAACCCAAACCGCCGTAAAAAGATGGGTGGTTAAGGTTTGTAAAAGAAACGAAATGGTACTAATAACAAGGTGATAGCGGTGATCTTATTAGCTTTTGGACCAGATTCATACAAGCCATAGTGCTTTCCTCGGTCATTTATAGCTTTTAGTCTCTGATAGATTGCTTACCACGCGATAATCCACTACGTTCTTAGACATCACCAGTGATTTTCCGTGGCAACTTACTCAGTGACCAGAAGACTTGCTCACATAGGTCACGTAAGGCTTCCGGGATGCGAACCTCGGGATTATTGTAATCAATGATTCGAGTCGCTGGGTTACATGTTTGTGTTGTAAAAAGTGGCCCTCATGTATCTGCTCAGTGTCCTTGTAAACTTCGTGAGTTTTCTATCTTCATCCGAACAATGCATTGTAAAATTCCAAACTTTCGTTTACTCCATTCAAACGGGGAACCACAAATTAGGAAGCAAACCGCCTCATGAGAATTTGCGGTTAATGGTTGTGAAAAATAAACTAAAGTGAACCACCTTAAATATAAGAAATCGGGTTTCATGAGTATTTACTTTTACATTTCGGGTTTTCTATATTCCTATCGACCCCCAAATTTACCTTCTACAAATGACCGGTGTCTCCTTCAATTTGTGGTGCTTACATGTACACATAACGTCGTAGGTCAAGCCAGGTGAGGTTTTGGGATGTGTGATCACTTCCAGTCTTAGTTTCGTCTGTCTCGAAGTTCGGTTACAAGAATTTGCATCACATTTTGTATTCGTTAAATTCTGTAGATTCGTGATTAAGATTGAATTAAAACTAATTAACGTTGCATATAAACAAATGTCAGACACACAAATCACGTTATGTATACAGATATTCAAAGTGAGATTTGTAAGTTGGGGACCAATTTTTGTATAAGAGCGCAGCTTAAGAGTTCAACTCAGGTGAGATCTTCATTCAGAATTCCCGTTGTGATATGTTTTTTGCAATTATATAGCTTGTAACAAATATGGTCAGTTATGGTAGTGCTTCTTCATGTTTTCACAACATACAGAGCTTGGAATAGAGCAAAAATACTTCATTTGTTTTGGCTCTTACAATATGTTTATTGAAAACGAACAATGATGAAGTTATAAAACTAATGCCGATAAAATATGAGAACTGAGCTAGTTAAAAATAGATATGATTCCTAATGGAACAGATTAAAAATACAATCATCAGGAAATTATTGTGTGAGAAGCAAACAAGAAATTATTCGGTCCTGCATCGTTTTATTGGTTATTGAATAAGAAATACTGTTGAGACACATGTCTTGAAGGCTATTTCAGATTTCATTTGTTTGATTGCCATATAAAATTCCTTCAAACCAAATATCCCCTATTATAACAGTGTTGTTCTATATTTGATGCGCACTTCAGTGATATACATTTTTATATTTTTAAACACGTCTGAGTCCAAACTGTGTGCCACATAAATCACTGTATAATAATCTTTATGAAAAAGATCCATGCTTGATGGTAATGTGCTGCTATATTGCTCAGGCCGACGTAGATGAGATTCTTTGGGAGATGAACAACAGGAACCTTCAGCTAAGTAACGTTCGACCAACCAATGAACAGTTCAGTTTGTAAAAACCGTAATCCATAGAGAGTCTCCATTAAGTTTGTTGTATTATTCACCCTTTGGATGAAGTCAAACGTCCAATGTGTCCAATACACTTCGATACTCAATGGAGCCGGTGAACACCACCATTTCAGTTAGCCACAACCCTTTGTTGCAAACTCTCTACCCCCAATTTTAAGTTGGTCTTTTCATTTATGTTTATTATTCTCATCCATTTTCGCATTATCCATTAATTTGTGTGCCTTCTAACCTTGAGATACATACTCAAATTGATTTGATTTATTTCGATGAAAAATACATTAAAAAGTATTTGTGACAGAAATCCCTGTAGAAAACCTTGTAACTTGATATACTTCGGGTTATAACCTAACAGGACCAATTATTCTTCTGTGCGATAAATAATGAAACCGTACGCCTAATGAAAAACAACCAATCGGTATTCAATAAGTCAAATATAATCGTACTATCAAAGTAGCGTACGGTTTTGCTTTTTCCTTAATGTTGTGACGCAGTCAAATAAAAGGATTATATAATAGTCAAAGTTTAAGAGTTTAAGTTTAAGAGAAAAGAGACGCGGTATGACCTGAGTTTAGCACAGTGATTCATTCGCTAGCATAATGTCACCTTTTGTACCATGCCATTTTTAATAGAAGAATAAATAACAACAAGGTAGAATTTTTCCACTCTACAAGTTTCGCAGAATATTTGTGCTTTTAAACTGCAGCCAAAATTTACTCCAGATATTTTATTCACATGAATTAAAGAGAAGACCAGATTCGGGGGTGAGAAGTGGACTATAGGGGGACTCGAATCACCATACTACTACTTGAATGCAGTTTATTCAAAACCATAGTATTTTCATTTCTTCATTTTTAGGTCATCAAATAAATCTGGACAAATAACTGAACAAGAAATGGATGATCTATTACGCGGACTACCCAGGGAGATACCGGCAGCAAGTCTGCCACGAATATCCCTTCGTATTGTGAAAGAGTTAGAGGAGTTGGGTGTGGCGTTTGATACACAACAATTGGACTATCAAGTTGTGGACTCCAAACTCGAACAACTTCTAACCACCCGGATCGAGCGGGGAGATGATCAAGCCCCGTTTCAGTTGGGTCAAATTTTTTTTGAAAAGGTAAACCACACACGTGCACAGAAATGGTGATATGATCAGCACAGAATGAGTATGATAAAGCGTGGGATTATTTTAAAATAGCCTTGGAAAAACAAAATGACGCACGGGCCAAATATCAAATCGGAGTAATGTTATACGACAAAATGGTGGACTATGAGAAGATGGGGATCACAGGCAATCCACAGGTGACGTTGTTTTGAATTTCTAATTACTGTTGTGATATGCACGCGCTCACGAATGCAGGCGGAAGCATGCAAGTTGTTCATGGAGCTAACGGAATTGAAATTCGGGCCCAAGTATCCTACTGGACAAAGGGAGCTTGTGTATCACGCAGCCTATAACCTGGGAAGAGCCTATCATCAAGGTTTTGGAGTTTATCCTTCGGATGAAAAAGCTCTTGAGTATGTAAACACTGTTTTGTCAAAGATTCTATTTGCCTGGATGATTCACTGGTCCAAATACTCCTTCTTTTTTATTTGAGGTTTTTATACTCATCAGACATCTTGGTACAAAAAATAGTTTAACCATTGAACTTATCTTCCTTCATCAACGTAGAAGGATTAGGAAGTGGCTGCTTGTAAGTAGCACCAGTCGAGAAGAATAAAGTTTCGAAAAATGTCCCTAATTTGATGCCATTCAGACCACTCGCAGTGAAACGTATTACGACACACCAGCCAAGGGGTTCGCGACAAAGAAGGATTGAAGTAAAACCGGTAGGCTTCACTAGATCAATAGTTGCTGTACATGAGCTGCACTAAACAATAACTTCATACAATGTGCAATAGGAAAGAGAGTTTAAATATGAGAACAAGTACATGACGTTCACCCGGCCGGAAAACGACTGTTCGAAGAGAGTGTAACACATCGAACATGTGTTCGTAGTAAAATAACGGCTGAGTAGTGAAATCTATTTTACACTTCCCTGTTTAGTAGTTTGTAAGTGTATGTTCTCTACTGTTGTGTTAGTATGTCAGAAGCTGTATTTGGCGTGGGTGTTTTCAGTGGAGTGATGATTTGGGTAAGGTATCGGATTCCATCGGAGAAACTATTCGCTACGATGAGAAGGAAGAGGCATTGGTGACAAAGGTACGATACCCGAGGAACCAAACGATTAATTCTCTATTCTACCATTGGTAAGTTTTACCTAGGTATAATACGGATTACAGTTAATAAGGTCTCACTATAGTCAACAATCATTCGTTTCTTGTAGTTGGCGTATTTTGTACCGAGGACTTGAGCCATCTGGGAAGAGTTTGAAGGCTCGATAATGCCATCGTTTAAAAGACGTTACGCAACAAGTGATTTAAAAGCAATAGAAAGGTAGATTAACAATAGGGGTGATTCAATTTTTGTTAGCCAAAGATTGCAGAGGGAGAAGCTACAAGATTTTGCACTGAACGGTATTTCCATTTTATCATGCAGGTAAATTCAAGTAAATTGGGGCTAATTATTGCATCGACACACAAACTACGTATCACGGCAATACGTTCGTTTCCATAAGATATACTACAGTATCGGATAGGGACGTAAAACTACCTAGTAATAAAATGAGAGAACGAGGTAGAAGTCATGGTAGTTTTCGAGTCCCATTGATAAACTTTCCAACCGTAGGAATTGGTAACGATAAGAGAGACATAAATGTTGGAGCTACCTGTGTCCATCGGTGCTTGAAGTTAAACGATACTGCGAAATCGGTAGTGGTGGCACGGGACAAACAAATAGGAGCGGCGATAGTTAAAATGACAGAAAATAAGGGACGAAGGGCAGATGTTATTGACAATCAAACATGAAAATGTTTCTGTTGCCGGGCGCATCTAGAATAATAAATTGTTTTTGTAAGCCTGGTGGACTGGTGACAACCGATGTGTTATTTACAATGTTGGACTGAAACCAACTGTTCACCTAAACGTCTCTTTTCATGTGCTAACCAGCTAGTTTGATTGAATATACTAATTCTCCAACCGATAATCTCAACACAGTCATTCTATTAAGCGAATACCAAAACAGTTGATCAGTTTCTTGGCATAATTCTCTCCGAAGATAAAGGTACAAACAAATATCATTCGCGCACTGCGTTTGTTCGAACCATCACTGATAGGATTTTTAATGTTGCAGCCAGTTGTTTCTATTTTCTAATAGGTAGCCAACAACATCTATTTGCTGGATGGCATATCGTATCAGGTTGGTATGTTCGTTTGTATGCAGCCAGTGCTTTAATTTCATTTTCCAGCTCCTTAAATCAGACCCGCGCCCTGTTCACACCGCATATCCATACTCTGTTTACACCCATTGTTAGCTCATGAGGCGTAGTTGAGCATTGCTTAACGATGCTTTGGTTTACGATAATATGATTTTATTAATCAAAGACAAAAGCCCATATGAACACTGCTTAAATGCAGATTCCTTTCCGCAAGGAAGTTGGCATCCGCGGCATCAAAGATATGATGATCATGACTAAACCTGAATTCCTTGATAAAAATTTGGTTGAGTTGGGTGGTAAATTTGGTAAGACAGCTGGCTGGAGGTCCTGAATGCGAGCCCAGCCATCTTCTCCCATTTTCCAAATTTTGTACTCTCCTAGACAGCCTTTTTTGGTTGATGCCCTTTTTCTGAAAGCTTATTGTACATTTTTATAATCAATAGAAAAGGAAGGAAGCAATAACCGTTTATTATTATTTATGATGATCACTTTTCATCTATCTAACCTGAAGCAAGATTGCATTGATGAATTACCAAGTAAATGAAAAATGGACTCAACAGTCTTGGCTGATTGATGGATTGATGAAAGGGTCATGTAAACCGCCCTATAATGCCAGAACAGACATTCGTGAGACAAGAATGAACAAATCACGGGGAAAAGAGAATAATTTTTATTGTAATTGATTACACTCGTATGCCTCTCCAAATGTCCAAAACCCAATGATCTATCGAAAAAGTCTGTGATCAAAATTTATGCACGAACCTTTGATTCCCGTTAACATGATTCCTTGATTTCTCCTACAGAAGACAAAATATGATTCATCTAGTATTGGTAAATCAAACGTATTAGGCCGGATTTCCGCAAATAGGTGCGATTTAACCTATATATTTAACATCGACTTGTAGACAAGCATGGTGGGAACACCAAAACAATAATAACAAGAACAAAAATGAGGGGCAGGTGGATTGGGATACAGAATAAAGGGGAAAGATTGAGAGGCAGTTAAACACGGGGAAATGTGATAACAAAATGTTTTGTGTGTTTCACCTAGATGTTGTTCAAAAGCCTCTCACACTTTTCTTCAGATTTCCGCATATATTATACATTAAAGACAGGTGCATCACAATCACAAATCTGAAACAGCCATATTGCTGGGTGAATTTCACTTCCGATGTCACGCAATGAATAAGAACTCAAAAAAACGGGCATTCGGTGTATCGTTCTGTCTATAGTTTCGTCGCGGTGTGGGCACACTTTGAGTGAAAGCCGCGGAGGTTGTTATTCATGCGAGGAAAGAATAATAATTCGGTGTTTTGAATATAGACCGGGGACATTTAGTTTCATTCGAAAAAGTGTAAAACACATGATTCATGAACTCCGGATTTATGTGCATCTCAATAAAGTTTGCAAAATTCATATTGAAGAATTTGCTTAGAAATGGCCTGTTCAGACGTTCTCAGTCAACACAATAATCTTAGTTATCACTGGTCAAATTAAATTGTACACATATAAAAAATTAGTATTATTAAATGATAGTAAGCGGTCGAATGTGCTCTACCAACTGGAAATTCATTTTGGTAAGTAATTGATGAGTATAATTAAACAGAATGCACAGAATCAGTGTACGAATATATCAAGGAAGAACAAGGGAACTTTTGTGAGTTCATCATTTTTACACCACAACCGATTTCTTATTTTATTAAAATACTCACCTAAATGCTATAAGCTTCCCGCTGTAGATTTTACACGAAAGCAGCCACCGTTTTGAGAAAGTTCTTTTCACAGGTTTCTACGCAATGATACAATGAAGAAGTATTGTTTTTCTTCCAATAATTGTGATATTGAAAACCGGAAGTTTAAGACTTTGATTTGGAGTGATATAATGTGTATTCCGCTATGGAAAATCTCATGTACCGAACCGGATTTCTGAAAGGCTATATGTCAGTAATATTGCCCGAAGGAGTTTGAACTCAAGAGCGAAAGAGATGGTGCGCTACTTTTACCTCAAACTTGAATCGCCTGGCCACCACCATCATCGCTGGTACAGGTTCAGTTTCCGTTCGTACAGCCATTAACCATGCACTCTCATGCACTAGTTTTGGCTGCTGTCTTTTGTCTGCTTATTTGGGTGAACCTGCAGGAGAAAGATAGATAATTTGAAGTACAGTCGAAGAAAAAACGAAGAATTTCAGTAGACCAAAATTGCAAATAAATTGAGAAAATGCACACAGGCACAGAGCTTTCTCCGGAGTGTTTTTTATTGATTTAGATATATCTATGTATTAATATATGTCAGGGCATGAGCTAGTTGGCGCAGTGGTAACGCACACGCCTTCCATGTGATGGGTCCGGAGTTCAAAGCCCGGATGGGACGGTGGATATGCACTACTGATGAGCTCTAATAAGAGCGAAACTCGAGTCTAGTGCTTCCGAGTGTATGGTTGAATCGATGAACTGAGGATTGTGCGTGAAGGTGAAGTCCGAAGGATAGTCGGTCAAATCAATCAATATTAGGTATATCTCACTTCATTCTGCGCGATATATTCATTTCATTGTTGAGTGCTGATAAGTTCCAACAAGGCTTTGTGTTAATTTTTTTATTGGCAAATGTTTTTTTACTCGTTTATTTGAGAATCGTTGGTTTTAAGCTTTTCCTGGGTCTCATCAAATTTTTACTAACATAAATGTAAAAAATGAAACATCCTACTAATCGACTCCAACCCATGTTTAACACAGATATTTCCTTCTTGCCGCAAACGAAGGAGACAAGACTGGGTGCGTTTATGCCCAAACTGCTCTGGGGTATTTGTATTCGGGCGAAGATCTACGCGATTTGAAGAAGTCTTTCTACTGGCATTCCGAAGCGTGCGGTAACGGGAGTGTCGAATCCCAAGGTGAGAGTATGTCCCTGCTCTGACTGATAACATCGTGAAGTAGGTTGTTGAGAATTTCAGCTGGAATGTATCGTTTCTTAACAGTTACGAACTATTTTGGATCTAATAAGTGCATTAATGAAACTAGTTTTAAAAGTTGCGGATTGAGCACTAGTTGGAAAGATTGAACGACAAAGGCTCACTTTCCATTTTGTTAAGTCTGTAGTTGTGGTTTCCATCTATGTGAATTTATATTAATTTTAATTTCACATCACCTACAAGGTGTGACCGATTGCCAGAAGAAAATGTGACTAATGTTTGTACACTGAACGGTTTGCGTTGAAGCGACCAGCATATCTTCCTCTAGATAACTAATCCCTGATCCCATTGGCATTTGCGCAGTAAGTGTACTGACTGGTCACTTCAGATCCACAGCGTTGAACGCTCATTTTCAATGATTCATTTTCTTTGAAAACATACATCATGTATTGCGTTTGTAAACTATCGTACATTCAGTGTGACGAATACAAAATACTTTTGTCGAAAAACGGAAAGTTGTTTCTTTCAGAGTTTGTCTCTTTTGATTCACCAGAAGCCCGTTGTTTTTAATTAGCCAGATGGATTGGGGTTTACAACTATACTTCTGTTTTATATCCAAGTGTATAATACATGTTTTGACCACGGTCAGGAAAAGGTTGAGAGGTCTGAAAATTAGTAGATAAGGTGCGTCACTGATGTGGGATTTTGTTACGCGATCTCAGTTATGTAGATAATCATACCCATTGATTGATTTGAACTGACTATCCTTCGGACTTCACCTTCACGCACAATCATCAGTTCATTGATTTAACCATACACTCGGAAGCACTAGACTCGAGTTTCGCTCTTATTAGAGCTCATCAGTAGTGCATATCCACCGTCCCATCCGGGACTTGAACTCCAGACCCATAGCATGGTTGAATCGATGAACTGCGGATTTTGCGTGAAGGTGACGTTCGAAGGATAGTCAGTTCAAATCAATCAATATCAATTATCCCCCCCCCACACACTTCTCACAAATAACTGTGAGTCAAATGCGAATTATACCCATCTTCCTTTCGATATATTGAATATGGGATATATATTTCACACCGGCTTGGAGAAAAGCATGGTATCTTTTTGCGGGTGCTCCCTCAATAATAGTCCCCACGCTGGCACAGGATTCTGGCATTGTTCCCGTTGAGGTTTTTCTCGTCCAGGAATTTCGGTGATGGCAATATCTTTCTTCGTTTTTTCATTTGGTGTTGAGACAACCTGGCTGCTAATCAAGACACGCTTAGTTGATGACTGAGCAGTGTGCATTCTTACCAGGGCATTTGGGTTCAATATTGAGAAAGTTTGATCAGAATGCGATATACACTTTTTCTCCACTAAACTCATTATTTATTGCTAGCCTCGTCATTGCAAGTTCCTCTCGAGATCCAAATCATTTGTTTCAGACTCGCGTATCACTAAGGTCAAGCAGCATCAAAGTACACTGGTGGATAGCTATCTAATGACAGAATAATCGAAATTAAAAGTGCGAAATAAGTATTGTAAGAGGATGAAACCCGTTGAAATAAAAAAGCCCATAAAGTGCAGACAAATTTTGAATAAAAAATCAATTTGAAGGATTCAATAAAAGAGATTAAGTACACTGTAAGAGATTAACTTCAGATAACATTTGATTGTGCTCATTCCCCCCTTTTTTCGAACCTTTCACCGAGTAGCTGCAATCGGAGTCATGTATTTGTACGGTTTGGGTGTTGAGCAGGATTGGAATAATGCATTAATCTGCCTATCGGAAGCCGCCAATCGGGGCAGCCTGTACGCAAAGGCATCACTGGTATACCTCTACTACAAGCGGAAAATGTACTCGAACGCGGCCGCACTGGCAAACAAGTAAGCACCATTCTCTCTGTCGCGCGCGCACACACACACAGACGCATTCTGTTCCTGTGTATTTCCCTCCATACTCGCTTTTAACATGATCAATGGCAGTTGGAGTATGGCACTTAAGACACCCAAAAATGACATGCCTGTTTTCGAAGTCCTTGGTAGATCTATTTGGCATAACAGAAGAAAAAAAGGGAATTACTATCATCATCATCCCTGCTTCCACTTTTTAAATTTATCGTGAACTAAGAAGACTCGATCAGCTAAATGCAAGAGGAGTAATAGAAACGCTCAGTAGTTGCAGTTTGAAAAATCGTAATTTTAGGGGCGATTGCCATTCTGACTTTGTATTTGTCACATCGACGTCCCACAAGATGCCAAAGCAGTTCACCTGGTTCTAAATAAAATTTGCCGCCACAGATTTGGACCATAAAATCGAGGTTTGGTGGAGTTGCGCTCCTCTGCTGGTTCACATTTTAAAGGTATTCAAAGATGTTGGCATATATGCATATATATGTGTAAATCACTAAGGCAACGAAAACGAGCTTTCATTTACTCTTCGATTGTTTCTGCTTCCATTACGCACACTGTTGGCATTCTATCTTCTTCAGGTTTCGTTTGCATACAGCGAATGTGGAAACGTGTAATGGGTGGTGTTGTTTTTCATAACACACAACTCAGCCTGACCAGGTGTTGAGTCAAAATATTGACCCAATTAAGTTATTCCCATTGGATATTTGTAAGAAAACAGTTTAATGATTCTTTTCTTAAAAATTCAGTCATGTAAGCTGACCTCGAGTATTAGCATTACTTTTTAAACATGACTTTCCTGACATTTGGGCCCGAATTTATATTTTATTTTACAGAATTATATACTTTGAAGAGTTCAGCGAATGTATTGACGGAAATTGTTTGAGAAATTTCCAGGCTCGTGCGAAGTCAATGGCCTGTTTCCTGTATGCGCGATGCATGCATCAAGGCCTTGGGGTGCAAACCAATGAAAAGCTGATTCCGCAATTGTATTCCCTTGTAGGTATCATAATGTGCAAATTGGTTACCTGTGTGAACATGTTTGCCTATAATCACTTTGTTGTTGATCTACCTAAGGGATAATGTATTTGTACAAAAATGTGTGGCATTCAAATTATTGTTTGGAAGATTTGAAGTTTTTATGTCGACATTGTGAAAATTTCAGTAGCCTCGGTGGGATTCGAACCCACGCATGGGTGCGGCCTGCGCTNTGCGCTTTGGTATAGCACACGCTCTACCAGCTGAGCTACGAGTTGTGTGGCATTCGCCGACTATGCTCAGAAGTGATGCGTGTCAGATTGGTACATCACACACTTTTGTTCTGTTTAGTTCACTTTTCAATTCACCCGGATGATCAGTTCTGGCGGGGTTAATGCGTGGATTGAGCAAAAATGTTCTTTCTCTTAAATGATCTAAATAGTACTAAAAGAGTCTCACGCCGTTGACTTGAGGTAACTTAAATGAGTTTGGCCAAACGAATGGTACAATTCGATCCTGGATTTTCATTGAATAAATCGCGATGTTTCGTGCGATTTCAGTTTGCCTGCAGTTCTAGTTCACATATAAACCGACACGTGACGCGACGATTGCCAAAGGGCTACTTAGGAAGTTTCCAGCCATACAGGAAGCCATAATTATCGCAACTGTGAAACCAATAGATTGCAAACAGTGTACACAAGTGCAACTAATGGTGTTAGCCCCATCGAGAAACCTGGAACTGCATAGATATTAAGATAAGAATCTTGGTGGCATGTATCCCCAAACGATTACTCCTCAAGGATTTTCATATGCATAGCAAGACTCAAGAAATGAATACATTGCAAAAGTATTCGTGCTGAAAATGTTTGTATAAAAGATTACATAGAGAACTGGATGGTAGCAGGCTATATGGGCACATGCATGATTACTCCTTTTGTATTGCGTATATTGCAATGAAATATTTCGTAATTATTTGGTCATGCCAATATACTTAAGAGTATTGGATCTTTACAAGTATTTATCCAATATTGGTAGGTTCATTGAAGGATATTTCATCACCAAAAGTTGTTAAAATTCATATCTGTTCTATGATCAGTTTTGATTAATTGCTGGAAACTTTTACTTTTCACCATTCAACTCCCATTTACATAATTACTAAGTGTATGAACATTTTGCTGCATTTGTACACATGGTAATACTGCAGTTAAGGCGATTTTTATAGTCGGTACAATAACAGTTTAGAGCACTTCCGTTTGTGCAATCAATAACCATGCACTTTTGAGCATCGGCTTCGGTCGTCGAGTTTTGGTTGCCCATTTGAATCAAGGGGTAAAAGGAAGATGGGGACAATGAAAGCAGTGTAAAAGATAATGTGAATAATTCAGGTATACGAAAATTGAAAAGTAATCGAGAAGATGCCCAAACGCGCTACTGTTTGCGATACTCAGTCATATCACTGAGTGTTTCTAACCATTGATAACGCTGATCCCAGGGTACCCATACAGATTTCCTAACGCAATCGTATTACAACTAAAAATATTGCTAATTTCAACGAATAGCACGAACACACGAAAGAGGGTTGGGGTCAATCATTAGAGTGAGGCTATTATGACCGCTGTATGCCCCTTTACAGATGCAGCGAAATGATCATGGATACATTAGACAAACTCATGTTTCTAACATCTCCATGAATTGGTTACCTAACTTGTGCCTGGTGTGTATTTCTCACGTTTCACCAACCACCTTCCTCGTATTCATTTTGTTCTCATTTTTGTAGAGCATCAAATTCGATTCAGCTCTCGCTTGTCGATACCAGCGTATGGTTCAACTGGGCGAACTGTGAGGTTTTCATGATCCCGAAGTCGGGACGATTTCACAATTGCAATCCGCTATTTTTTGTTCGCTTCGAGTTCAGAAGACTGATTTCTTGTTTTCTCTTCCTTTTTTCTTTGAATAACTTTTTCATCAGAAAAATGATGAAGTGAAGATCATCCTAGTTCTATAAAGACAACTTGTTCACTTGCCTGTCTATATCATAAAATAAATAGTTATTTGAGGCGAATGTCTTATATACTCATGTATTTTGCCTGCAGAGCTTTAAAAAATTGCTTTTTGATGTGAAACAAAAATGGGTGCATAAATCAGGTTTTTCAACATGCCCTCAAAATACCATATGAACCCTAACATTATGAATTTACAAAAAACCACCTTACTGGTTGATCTGTGAAGAATGACTGTGCGGCGCCTTTCCAACAGTTGTTTATGAAGATTGTTGAGAAACGGTAACAGTTTGCATATGATATTCCTAGATGACGATGGCCACATGGCAGTCTCGGATATCCGCTATGCACCGGAGCAGTGTGCACGTGAAACCTAACAACGCTTTGAGAGACACGGCAATCCAGACTATGAATTGGTGGTTAGGTGTGTAAAAGTATCCAGTTCAAACACAAGTGTCAGCGTGATAATAAGAAGGGATGGAGCACTGTTTTGCACAGAATTAATGCATTTAGTATCAACTTACATATTGTCAATCTATTAGCAAATCGATTTACGAGACAAAGGGAAAGTAAGCGCATGATAGCTCGATCCATTTGACAGATCTCATTTGGGCCAAAGGCTTATCTGCCATTTTCAGTTACCGTAAACGAACTAGACTGTGCCGGGTTTTGGGGGCAAATGGTGCACACTTCTCTCATTGAGGATACATAACAATTGAGTTTTAGAACGACCTGCGAATTGGCTGACCTGTTTTATTTGTCCCAATAGGGGATCGAGTGCTTTATATTTGCGTTCATGCTTCTTAATCTGTCCATTAGCTGACACTGCCATCAATCTCAAATAGTGTTCACCCTCGTGTCGGATGCTAAGGAAGAACAGGTCGGGGGTTGGATAAAATAATGGTACAAAAAGTACAAATTTTATTCATCCCATACAAGGGACCCTTCTCTATTATCCGAAGAGATATCACTCTATGGTTCTCTGAATTAATTTGCGGTGTCTTTATTAAACCGGAGCGCTATTGACGGTTTTACTTTCGTGGTTTTCTGAGTTAAATGAAAGGAATAACTCTAAGACAGGGATTACTACTACTACTACTTAACCCCTTTCTTTCATGTATAAGCCAGTTGTGCGAACAACATTTTTCAGTTGAATTTGCTCCTGTTCCTATCAAACTCCGCAGTTAAAGTTCGTGGACTTTTATTTATGCAAGCAAATAGCAATTATTCTGATAAATCTTCATACTTTTGGCTGAGTAAACGCAGTATATTTTTTATGTATCATTTGTTTGAATGCACGAGTAAATTGCTAACAATTAAGACAAAGGGATAAAATGAAAGAACTGAGATGGCAGTATGCTGACCTCTTTTGTATTTGGACAGTATTGAATTTTCTGAGGCGGGATTTCTAGGGGCTGATGTTAGTCGACTTCAAGCCTCAGATTTATTCGTCTTTATTAGTGTGTCCTCTCCAGGAACTTACTTGGCATCAATTTGGTATCAACAAAGAATCTGCTTATATCGAGTGTTTCGAATTACAGGAATTTGACGTCTAGCAGTTCAGGTTTTCATTTCGTTTCCCAGTTCATTCCCTCGGAGGCCATTGGTTTGAATAGTATCGTTTCCTTCCACCTTCTGCTTTATTTGTTTGATTGTTGGCACTCATCTTCATTAAAAGGGTTAGATAGTTGTCTATTCGGTGTCACTAGGTAGAGCATGAATACAGTTGAGGAATACGCCTGGAAGGATTAAGTTTTTTAGGTTGCAATATTGGGAAAACGTCTACCCACGCAGTGCTCTTCAAGCTTCTACACGTTCAAACTATTACTTTCTAAGGCGTTAATATGCGTACCGTAAGTTTTTCATGGAAATTTAGAGCGTGAAAGATAAAAAAATTTTCATCAACGATTACTGATCTGAGATAATACATTGTCAATATGAAAACCTTGAGATCCAGGTCCAATTTTTCAAACAATCATCGCTTTCCGGTTTGTATGAGGACCATTGTTTCGTATGTGCTGTTTTTCCAATAGCTTTAATCATATCTACCGATTCAGCCTATAGTTGACATAGAGTTTTCGCATAGGTCTTTAGACGGATAATGAAAGATATTTTCCCGTTTTGTCACAAAACATTAAAGCAGATGAATTACGATTATCTCCCCGTGAAGAACACTTTTGTCGTGTGGGTAAGATAGACATTATTTATTCAAAGCCAGATTGTTAGCATAATGTATAGTTCATAAATAAGCGTGATCTGTAGTCCTTTTTGTGCAGTCTGAAGAAACAAGGAAAATGTTTCTTTGAAAAGTGAAAAAAATGGATAACAACGAACTTCAGTAACCTAGATGAGTTGATGTACAGAAATCATAAGTTTAAAACTTGATCGAAATATACTCGCTACTGTGACAAAATACTGACGTATTCTTTTGCTTCGCTCGAGCTTGGGTCCATGAGCATCCCAGGTGAAAGCATCAGATCGACAACATAGGGAATCATCGTTGGTTTGGGTGCCTGCGAGAAGAATGCGTTGATACAAGGGAGAAATCAACCGTCATTCATTTTTCATTATAAAGTTTCGTTTCACAGAATAATAAACAAAGACCCGAATAAAGAATTTCCATGTTAGTTGCTAATTATTATAATGTGTTTAGAGGCAATCGAGTGAAAGAAACGAAATGAATTAATTTAGGGTAATAACTTAGGGCTGATATATATATATATATATATATTCCACACCAATTCGGAAAATAAGATTAGAGCTGTTGTGGCTATGTTGCAGTGGCTATAGTTTGTAAAATTTGCCTTGCACGCTGTGGGAGCCCAGGAGCTGAGAATTACCGTTGGCTAGGGATGTTAATAGATACCGCTGAACTTATCAGTCAGTATTGTGCGGTTTGGTCTTGGAAAAGTTAACAAAGAACATGGTGTTCTTGTTTTTGTTCTCCAATCTATTTTCCCCTAGTCTATTGTTCTTCACCTCAATCCAACATAATTGTTCCCAAGCCGATTAAATTTCTACGCATGTATCAGTATGAAATACGTTTAATTCTCAGATTGCTCTACCTTGCTGAATATATACAAGGGTTACACTTGGAAAGAAAACAGTTCAGCCAACAATCTTGTTTTCATTTATTAATCACTATGTTTTAAGTATCATCTTTTTATCTTCTTACTGTTTAATCGCCCAAGTTATGGTTCGACGATACATCTGTGAATGAACATATATGCCCGTAGTTGGATTTCTGTTAACCGCTATCCGAACCAATGATGTACAGATCCTAAAAAATATGAAAAGCTGCGTGTTTACAAATTTACTCACAGTAGTTTTTACTTTGGGTTTGACGTTCACATTCCTTTAAGGTGGAAATTTTGTCACTAACATTGTTTTGCTAGTGAAAACTTCACAAATTTCGATGGGATTCGAACCCACGCATAGACGCTACGTACATGTTTGTACCATACACATCACCCACCAGATGAGCTACGAGGCTGCACTGGTAGTACTGACCTTTTTATATTTCTATTCCATATGCAGCGTAGGTGGTGCTTACTTGGAAGGTTCAAATACCGGGGAAATTAGCGGTGTGAAAAATCCTACTGTCTTTCTAGCACTTGCCGGAAAACATAATTTATTCACCTTTACTGCTAAAAAACACTTCCAATGTAGTCTACGCTCCCAATAGTTTTGTTTGTATACCAACAGTATGAATACCTAGAACCACCAATTTTATTCATAGCATATGTAATAATTTCGACTCACGTTGGTCGTTGATCTAAGCAATAGCTCGTTGTATGTTCGTCCGTAATTTCCTCGAACCAAATTTGTGGGCAGACCGATATGATCGGCCAGAAACTGTTGCGCATAGCAAAAGAAAAAAATATTGTATTGGACTTTGAATTACAATAACCACAGTAAAATAACAAACTGATGTGTTTACTTCATAAAATTCATCTCACCCCTCATTCAAAACGAACTACATTGAGAACACAAAAGGCATTTAAGGATAGCGTTAGAAAAGTAACACTTTTCTGATAGATAGTGTTTGGACTTCTGGTCAGATTGCAGTAACCCTGTACTCAGAGTGTTCCCAAAATGTACCCAATAAATATCTCCAAAGGTGCGGGGATAGGTTAGACATCACGCGTTTTACAAAATAAGATGGACTGAATTTTCTAGAATGATGGATTTATGTATCTTCCTCGGATTCACTTATGGATACGAACGAAGTATCCGTTGGAATGATCATTCCTCCGTTTCTCGGTTCGCCGCATTTTGTTTAGGCCACAACCTGTGGAAAACTGATTGCACAACACGTTGAGTGTAAGAGCTGGGTGAAAAATCGGGAGAATCAGAGAAAAGGACAACCGTGTGGTCATGGAATGCACAAAAGATCAAGCGGGGATGACCGAAACACACTGAAAAATATTCGTGTTTTTCTTGCGCCGTCTATTCTTAGTTTCCGATGGAGGAAACTAACTAGTTTTTTTTAAAATTTTCAATGAGCTGTGGTAGTTAGGTGGCCTCGGAAGACATGTATTCGAACCCAACCACTACTACCACCACCATCTAACTTTCTCCGTTCTGTGTGTGATGTATGTCAGTCCTTTCATTGACCAAGTTACCCTTCCTGAAAAACTGCTTCATTATATATTCAATAAAACGTAGTAAAAAATAATAAAATACGTTGTTGTGTGATGTTGCATACATCTTCTTATACTTTGATTGTCTCCAAACCAGTGTAATATGTATAGGTGAAAAACTAAATTATTTACCAAAATTGTCTTTGACTATCGGAATGCAAACAGAAATGCAGTCTGATTGAAGCATAACGTTGTGTTTTTACTTTCATCGCATGCAACTGGAATGCCATTGCAACCGATTTAACGGGTAATGTCCGATGACGAATAATTTTATTTTGCTATGCAACTTGAATTTCTCTTTGTGTAAACCTAGTGAACTGAAAGTCATTATGCTCAAAAGTTGTTGAACTGTACGCTGCATTTGTTTGCGTTCGTCTCGGATAGAAATTACTGAATCATTGAAGGAGACAGAAGTTAATGCAAAGCAGGAATTTATGAAGAGAACTGATGATTAGAGTTGTCAAAAGTCAAACAGTTAAAGAGTAGCAGAGCTCGTTTGTGCGA